TTAGTACACTTGAAGGAATAGTAAGAACGCTTGAAATCCCGTAAGGAACCAAACATATGTGTGTCCAGACACAACTCGTGCTTGGACAGAGAAAACTCTCAGTCCAATCTAGCAAATGCGCGTCCAGATGGACCTGACTCACTGCCCAAAGTTTCAGACATTCATCTTGACGTAAATATCACGCTCGAACAATCCTAACTGTCTGTCCTAGCATGTTTCAAAAAATCATGTTTTTCCCCTTCGCCATCTATTATGCTTCATGTTACCTCCTTCCTAACAACAATATAAGTATGTAACATTATATTATTTCAATTAAATAATACATAGGGTTTTACAATTAAAGACAAATGCGTCTAGTGTACTATGTGTTCAATGTAATACCTCTTAACCTAAAAGGTGAGATATAAAAGATAACCACTAGACCGAGTCATTATTTGTACTGCCAAGTGTTGGCCTATTTAAAAACAACATATTCAGAATTATGAAATTATAGAAGCAACACCAATAAGAGATTAATGTAGAAACTATCAATTTAGATCATTTGAACTAATATTATGCTCATGACCATAATGAAAAGGGTAAATATAGATTGGAATTGTACTGGGATTGTATAATAGTATGATAGTTTACGGTTTAATAGAAAATATGATAATTTGTAGAGTATGATAACAAAATAAAATTTATTTATTCAATACTAAATAATTAAAATATTAGTTGAGGTGAGTTGAGAATAGTTGAACACAAGGTTGATAATTAAGGTTTCACTTCAATTCTTTTTTAAGTGCACACACAATGAGGGTGTTTGAATTTTTACTTGGATGCATAAGATCTTTTTCCTCTATTATTGGTTAGAGGTATTTTTTTTGGCATATTTCACAGAGGTCCAATGATTGATAGTACTTAATGGGTGTATTTGGATAATGGGATAAAAGGGGTTAACACCATAAGGATAGCTAAATAAGATAGTGGGTCTCATTTATTCTTTGTTTGGGAAGCATTTTTTAAGGTTGGATAACAATCCCGGGTCAAGCCTTGACCCGGTTGCTACAGTAGTACATAACTCCCCTACACCGATTACAATTAACCCCCCCCCAAAAAAAATGGGTTATAAACCTATGCAGCAGGTTAACTATCCATCTGGCCCATTTGCCCTTCTCGTTCCCTATCACTCAACCACTCACACACAATTACAGACACACCAATTGAGCTTGGCCAGAGGTTTGGGATGAAGATGCTGCACAGAGGAGTTGAAGAAGATGTTGCACAGAGGCGATGAAGAAGAAAAGGTTTGGAGAAACCCTAGTGGGTTCGATTGGTCAAGAACGACGTTGAATGACTTAGTTGTTGCTGATAATGATAAGGGTCTAGTCGTCGGCTTGTGACCTTCTTTGTAATTGGAGAGTATCGCCATGGATATAAAGGCGTAAAGCGATTTTGACAAATAGTGGTGGGAGGTAGTGGTGGTGGTGGGTGTTTCTATTATGGTGGTAGTGGTGGTGGCATTTTTGTTGCGTTGAAGGTTTATTTGGCGAAGTATAAGGAGCTGAAGGGGGAGAAGAGCTCGATAGGTGGTGATAGACAGAGAGAGAAAGATGGGAGTGGAGGTGGAGGTGGTGGTGGTAAGAGGGATGGGGCGGTGAGTTCTAGTGGCGGTGGTGACGGGTTTAATGGTAGTGGTGGGATGCAGATGTATAGTTCTGGTGGATACCATCAAGAGCAGATGTATGGTTCTGGGTTTGATATATCTGATAAAAAAAGGGATTTAACAAGGGAGAATTATACCTAGACTTCCTGAAGTTTGTCACTTAATCACTCATATCCCCTAACATTTGAAATATTACACACAGATCCCTTGAAGTTTGTATGTGCGTGACACTTAAACCCCTAATGTTGATATATCTGTTAATAAATTATACTTAGACTCCTCTGAAGTTTGTAGATATATAATATTTAGACCCCTTAAGTTTAAAATATTATACTTAGACCAAAAATACTCCAATCAAAGATAGAATATCAAATATTTTGAATTTTACAATCAAAATTCATATTCTATTATATCATTTATTGAAATAAAATTATAATAAAAATTTAATTTTTTTTTAAAAAATTGTAAGTAGTATACAATTATACTATCTAGTGGAATAAAACTAAAAAATTAAATAAGGGCTCTAAGTCATTCATAATAGAACATGAATTTTATAATTAAAATTCATGTTTTATTATGTCATTTATTGAAATAAAATCAAAAATTAAAATCTAGGTTTTTTTAAAAAAAAATCATAGTTAGTATATAATTATACTATCATAATCTATGTGTAATATTTCAAATGTTCGTGGGTCTGAATGATTAAGTGATAAATTTCAGAGGGTCTGAGTGTAATTCTTCCATTTAACAAATTTTCACCCGCTGCCTTATGTTTTGTTGTATTTTTTTAGAAGACAACATTTATTACAATTACATATGTTTAATACGTAACTATTATGTATTACTCATATGTTAGTACACCTCTTTGAGATTGATACAATATAGGGTTGTTAGCAACACATTACTACATAGTTGGAGTTGGCTTTTTATATTCAATTATTTGAATCTTATATACATGGTCTAACCTTATATTAATTAATAACTTTCCTAAAAAAATATTATTTTATTTTTATATGTTCTTATGTATATGTGAAAAATGTATAATTTTATTAAGATAATCCACAACTCCAAACATAGGATATGATTGATTTGGATTGGAATGGATAAAGTCATAGGCAAAATGATAAACTACTACAAAATTATTTATGTAATCTATGAGACTCACTGAATTACATATTTGTTTCTCAAACAAAGGTTAGGATTGGATATATTCCAAAATTAGCATTTTAAAATAGATGAGTAGGTTTAACTCGCATGGGTTTAGGATATAAAAAAACAAATCCAACACTTTTTTAAGTGCACACACAATGACGGTGTTTGAATCTTTACCAGGATGCCTGACCAAAAAAAAAAAAAAGGATCTTTACTTGGATGCATAAGATATATTTCCTCTATTATTGGTTAGAAGGTTGTTTTTTTGGCATATTTCACATAGGTCCACTGATTGATAGTAGTTAATGTAGATTAACATCACAGCCTCTTTGTTGTATTCTTTTTTTCCATGATGATGCAAGACATCGTCCGGTAAATGGCAGTGGACCTATGATGATGCAAGGATTGGTTCATTATAATGGGAAAATGTTAATCTCTATTTCTACCTCACGAGTAAATTCTGATCCTCGCCATCCATCCCCTAGCATAATTAATTTATGTGATTTTTAAAAAAATTAAAAAATAATAACAATTTAAATACAAGTTTTATCATTGTACACATGTATCACATGAAATAATCAAAAGTAAAAACAAAGAAAGAAAAAGTCTAACGGATTAAAAGTTTATATATATATCTAACGGATTTAGCCGGACAGTGCGGTGTAAACGTCAAATAAGAGGAAATAATTTTTAAAATAAAAAGGGACTGACCTAGTCTCATTCATATAAACGCCAAAGGAGGACACCAATTTCTAATTTTAGTACGAAAAGTATCCAACGCCTATGGTCACTTTTTGCTGTCATTGTTGACCCGGAATGCATAACCACTGCTAGTTTTTTGACTTGTGGAATTCAATGTATTGAACTCAAAGGCTTTAGTTCCCCAAAAAAACAAACTCAGTCATACTTGAATCTAGCGTTACCTGGGGTGGTCGTGCAGGTTTTTTCAAGGTTACCCTATCCTATTCCCTTCGGTAAAGTAAATCAATAAAATAATTAATTTATTACACAAAGTTGAAAGTCATATTCAATTATTGTTCAAATATGGAGTGGATAATTCTTTTTTAATTTAGGTTTAATTTTCAAATTACACATGTCAAGGATGTACTTATACCCATTCGGATTGAATACCAATGCCACCACATTGCAACTCGAACAATGCACAAATTTGAATCGATTTAAACATTCTTTTGTCTGAATCAAACTCAAACACTAAAAATATTAGTCCAATTTTGGATATATTCAAGTTTTAGATTCAGATTGATCCACTCAAAATTACACACTATTACTTAGAAAATAGAGAACAAAAAAACTCTTAGCTAAAAATCTATCTGGTGTTCTTTTGACCTGACAAATTCTAAAGATAATTTTCAATCTTCCTCGTAGCAAAACAATTGTCTTTTGAACAAAGCTTTCTAGAAAAGCATGATAAATCATTATTAACGTTCAGCACACATATCTAACTCGTCAGCCTGATGCAATTGATCACCAGTTCTCTCTCTCTCTTGTTAGGGTGTTTGGAGGGTGGTGTTGGTTAACATAATATAGATTGGATAAAAATATAGTGGGGGCTCATTCATCCTGGGAATCAAAAAACTTGGCTGGAGCAACTTCCTTTTCTAAAGTTACGCCAATCCGAAGGTTTCACAAATGAATAAAGTTGTCAACAAAACAAAGTATGAGATGAGATATTACATATTCTTCATAACCCATCCAAGTTGGTGAGGGGTTGGGACTGGATGGGATTAGATATAAAGTTGAATCATATCCTAACCAAACTTATGATCCAACAACAATCTGATACCTCTGGCTAAAATACTATTAAACAATATTACTGTCACATCATTGTATAACTAAATTAGGTCAATTTAAGAATGTATTTGTTAATTGTTTCTCTCTTGCGTAGTTTCAGAGTTGCAACTTGCAAGATGCGTTTACTAACACAAAGTTCAGCGCAGTTTTCAACACGCACTAAACATTTGACTACGTGTTGCGTTTTTAGTAGTTCTTTATTGTATTTTGTATTCTTCTGTATCTTTCCGAATCTAAAATAAAGTTGAATCTTTAGCTAGAAGACGACAGCTGACACAAAAATTAACAATTAAAAAAAAAAAAAAACTAGGAAAAGAAAGTGACTTGCTTGACTTGGACTGCGGGCAATGCCGACTTTCTTAATTGCTGTGTGTCTTATTATCCCTACGTACTGGAATCCATCGTTGATCCTTGTACACATACCACACACTCAGACAAGATTGTAGAGAGAGAGAGAGAGAGAGATGGGCACTGTGGTTGTTCCAAGCTCGGCCGGAATCTCTCCGGAAAATCATGAAAATGGTGCCATCGGTCGGCCCCCCAAAGAGCTCGACGCCGGAGAACTTTTTGTCTTGAAATCACGAGGTAAGGGAGTAAGACATCGGGTATTGTTGTAATAGGAATTTTCCTCTTTCTTAAAGGTCAGGAATTAGGATCATCTGCAGTACACTAAAGGTGTTGTTGTTCAAAATAACTGCATCGTTTTGGAAACGGTTTTCTCTGCCGAACAGCAGAGAGGATCTCCACTCTTCTTTTTATGATGTCTCTCTTCTTTTTATACTTAGATATTGATGTAAAGGCTCTAAAAGATTGTAAAAGAGATTGTTGGTGTTGATGATAGGGTCATGGCTGCACTGTGGGTATCATCTTACGACGGCGATAGTGGCGCCGGCTCTTCTAAGCCTACCCTTTGCTTTCACCTTGTTGGGCTGGGTGGGAGGAGTTCTTTGCCTCAGTGCGGCGGGGCTGGTGACGTTCTACTCGTATAACCTTTTGTCTCTAGTGTTGGAGCACCACGCACAGCTTGGCAAGCGTCAACTTCGTTTTCGTGACATGGCCCATGATATTTTAGGTACGATTCTTTGTCTATAACTACATATATATGTATATATATTTTAAATTTTTAAGTTCATGTAACATTATTCATACATACATTTTATAGTGTGATAATATGAAGTGTTCCATGAATATTCTATCATTCCAAAAAAAAATACTTGATATACATACATATATAATAGGTAAGTGTTACATATACATACATATGTGTGTGTGGTTAAGTGTTCGATGCCCTTTGAATGTTACTAGATTCATGAAGTTGTAGACTTTCTAAAAGGTAGTGTCACAGCTGGTATAATATTCTGTCAATATTTCAAAATCAATGATCACGAAAATCATGGTATTAATCAGAATTAATAATATTGATTCATTTTGCATTAGAATTCTTGTTAGAAATTATGCTTGTTTTATAATACAAATTGGTTCTGTTGGAATCAGTAATTACAATTGTCTAACACCGTCGTCGCTGTCCTTTATATGCCATCTGGTCTTCATTTGACCTTCTCAGCTTTACAGAAAAAAAGTCTCATGTTCAGTTGAATATCTGGTGCAGTGCAACAACCTTCCTAGTAATCAAATCAGCAAAACACCAATGCTTTACACCCACGCATACATAAAACAATAGAATAAGAAACCCTAATTTTGAAATACTAAAACTATCATGTCATTTATAAGATCTAGCATCCGCTACGAATCTAACGATTGTGATGAATTATGCCAATAAATTAAATTTAAATAATATTATTAATTTCTAATAAGAAAACAATCATAGTTTCTGCTTAATGTATCTTCCAAATTTCTTGAATCGAAACACTATTTATACAGGGGAAAGGGACCCTTATCTAATAAATTTGAAGCTAGTCTTGTAAGATCTAACAATGTATTTGTTATGTCATGAGACAACTTAGTCCAAGACAGAAGATGAAAATTTCAGATTTGACCATACATGACAATAATATCTCTTGTGAAATATATTTAAAGAGATTCAAACGATGTTTGAAAGAGATAACTATTATCCGTATTCTAAAGAAATTGGTTCCTTGACTTAAACCATGGTAATTTTTCGTTTCGGATAATTACTATAGTGGTGTCGCTCTAGCTTGTCCGACTCTCGTGTGGAATATATACTAATAGAAGTTCAATATCATTAACTCGCAAACTGTAGAATTACAGAAATTAAGTAAAGCAAAGGAGAAAAAATAAAGAGAATATACAACACCATGGTCATACTTCCACACAATGCCATGGGCAAATTTATTATGCTGAACAGCCTTTGAAACTTGAAAGTAAGCGCTATTTAAGAAGGTCACAATACAAAAATAGTAAAATGCTATTTGAACTTACATTATTGACCTAATTTATCAATCTAATTAATTACTGTGATTGATTTTATCGGTGAGTCCTCATATTTATTAGGATTTATAGCTAATTTAATGGTTATGATTGGTTATATTAACTTAAGATTCTGAAATTACAACACAGCCCTATCACTTTAAACCAAAAAAGATTCTATCTTACAAGACTTTCCTTCTCAAAAATAAAGTTTTCTTTGGCTGTTATTTCTTTACTAGCAAAAGAATAACTGCATCAATTTGAGTATGAGTTTCATAGATGTAAGGTGGTTGAATGAAGCATGACTGATGATGGTGGTTGATGTTGAAATTTGACAGGACCCGGATGGGGACGGTACTTCGTTGGTCCACTTCAATTAGGCATATGCTATGGTGCAGTTATTGCTTGTACACTTCTAGGAGGGCAAAGCCTAAAGGTTAGTATGTGGTTTACCTCAAGCTCAGTGTACTAGTCCTATTGTATTGGGTTTGTACGGTGTCTCATGCGTGGAATGTTGAAATTTATTTAACTCATACATGATATTTTATAGTCATTTATAATTAAATTCGTATTATGTGAAATTTGTAACGCAAATTGAAGTATAGGAAATTGGATTTGTATTACACCATTCAATATCGAATAGGTTTTTCTTTATGTGCTTCAGTCTTAGCCACCGATAACTTGAATATTTTCCAATAGACTAGAGTTGATATAGAGGAAGACATGGGAACATCCCGTCTTCTAAAGCTAGTGAGAAAAGGAGTCACTTAGCAATTTTGGATAGAATACTCTATCTTTAGGCCAAAGTCCAACGATCTTACGTCCCAATAGTGTGAATTGAGACAAGCAAATTTCTATGTGAGAAAAATACCTCGTGGATAAGGCACACGATTGAGCTGTACACGAGTCTGATGGGTGACCTGATTATTACACGAACTTACTAAAACTAAACTAATATGTGGTCTTACGTTGGTTTCATGTCTAGTGGGCATATCCTATTAAAAGGTTGTTTTTTTTGCTTGTGGTGTTGCAGTTTATTTACTTGGTGGCCAGGCCAAATGGGAGTATGCAGCTGTACCAATTTGTGGTTATCTTCGGAGGCTTCACGCTGGTCATGGCACAAATGCCATCCTTTCACTCCCTCAGACATATCAACCTTGTCTCCCTTGTTCTCTGTCTTTCATATTGTGCTTGCACCACCGCTGGCGCCATTTACATCGGTAATAAATCCTATCGCTTGCCAAGTACATTTTTTAAGTAACATTTCGTCCAAATTATTAATGTTTGTTATAAATTTAACAAAAAGTTATTTCATTTTGACCACTTTACCCTGATACATTACCAGTTTTCGTCCAAAACAATAGTGGATGTTTGGGATTGGAGTAATGTAAAATAAGTCAAGTAATTGAGGGGATAATATGAAAAAATTTAATAGTTCGAAACAAAATAATATCACATTCATAGTTTAGGAAGTCAAAGTGTAATTTAGCCAATTTTATAGTAAAAAATTTATATATGTGATTCAACTTGGAGGACCAGAACAACAACGTAGGATAAAGAAAAAAAAAACAAAACATTTATCAAATAGGACCTTACAAATGACGACTGTGATTCTCTTACAGGAAATTCCAAGAATGCTCCTCCGAAGGACTATTCTATACAAAGAGATGGTGCAAGTCGTATGTTTGGGGTTTTCAATGCTATTTCAATCATTGCCACCACATATGGCAATGGAATTATCCCCGAAATACAGGTGCTTAAATCACTTCTTTCATCTTATCGTTAGTATGTTTGCCAATAGTACAAATTTTAATAAAATTTTATTGATTTGATTTTAATTTAAAAACTTCAATCTAAATATGAAGTGATTATGTAACAAATTTTATTTGTTAAAAATTATAAATTTGATACGATCCAAATGACTTAATAGAAGTTATTTTTTTGGAAATTACACTTATTTTAGTTCAATCTCATCAAATAACCCTTCAATTTAAAATTGAAATTAGATGATACTTGGATGGGATGTTGGTGTATACAAATCCGAAACTATGATGCATGATTAGACAGATTTGAATTAGGATTATCGGTCAAAAATATAAATTTATATCCAACTAATTCTATTCGGATGGAATTCAAATCAAAACTCAATTCATTGATAGACCTATTTATCGGAGTGATTAAAGAAAGTTCAGCACATACTTTGGTATCCATTATTGGGGGTGTTGAGAGGAATGAAACGATCTAATATATGTACAAAGCAAGTGTCATTGGGATTAGGATCCCCTCTAATATTTTTTTCTTGCAACGCGCTTTTTGACAAATTATTCACTATTAATAAATGAGTAACTCACTTATATACATTGGGTTGTACTTATTGATATATAGAAGAGAATCTCTGTTGATTTGAAACTACTACCTCAAGTTTATCCTCCAATTTTTTGTAGGCCACAATAGCTCCTCCAATCAAAGGCAAGANAGTCCTATTGTATTGGGTTTGTACGGTGTCTCATGCGTGGAATGTTGAAATTTATTTAACTCATACATGATATTTTATAGTCATTTATAATTAAATTCGTATTATGTGAAATTTGTAACGCAAATTGAAGTATAGGAAATTGGATTTGTATTACACCATTCAATATCGAATAGGTTTTTCTTTATGTGCTTCAGTCTTAGCCACCGATAACTTGAATATTTTCCAATAGACTAGAGTTGATATAGAGGAAGACATGGGAACATCCCGTCTTCTAAAGCTAGTGAGAAAAGGAGTCACTTAGCAATTTTGGATAGAATACTCTATCTTTAGGCCAAAGTCCAACGATCTTACGTCCCAATAGTGTGAATTGAGACAAGCAAATTTCTATGTGAGAAAAATACCTCGTGGATAAGGCACACGATTGAGCTGTACACGAGTCTGATGGGTGACCTGATTATTACACGAACTTACTAAAACTAAACTAATATGTGGTCTTACGTTGGTTTCATGTCTAGTGGGCATATCCTATTAAAAGGTTGTTTTTTTTGCTTGTGGTGTTGCAGTTTATTTACTTGGTGGCCAGGCCAAATGGGAGTATGCAGCTGTACCAATTTGTGGTTATCTTCGGAGGCTTCACGCTGGTCATGGCACAAATGCCATCCTTTCACTCCCTCAGACATATCAACCTTGTCTCCCTTGTTCTCTGTCTTTCATATTGTGCTTGCACCACCGCTGGCGCCATTTACATCGGTAATAAATCCTATCGCTTGCCAAGTACATTTTTTAAGTAACATTTCGTCCAAATTATTAATGTTTGTTATAAATTTAACAAAAAGTTATTTCATTTTGACCACTTTACCCTGATACATTACCAGTTTTCGTCCAAAACAATAGTGGATGTTTGGGATTGGAGTAATGTAAAATAAGTCAAGTAATTGAGGGGATAATATGAAAAAATTTAATAGTTCGAAACAAAATAATATCACATTCATAGTTTAGGAAGTCAAAGTGTAATTTAGCCAATTTTATAGTAAAAAATTTATATATGTGATTCAACTTGGAGGACCAGAACAACAACGTAGGATAAAGAAAAAAAAAACAAAACATTTATCAAATAGGACCTTACAAATGACGACTGTGATTCTCTTACAGGAAATTCCAAGAATGCTCCTCCGAAGGACTATTCTATACAAAGAGATGGTGCAAGTCGTATGTTTGGGGTTTTCAATGCTATTTCAATCATTGCCACCACATATGGCAATGGAATTATCCCCGAAATACAGGTGCTTAAATCACTTCTTTCATCTTATCGTTAGTATGTTTGCCAATAGTACAAATTTTAATAAAATTTTATTGATTTGATTTTAATTTAAAAACTTCAATCTAAATATGAAGTGATTATGTAACAAATTTTATTTGTTAAAAATTATAAATTTGATACGATCCAAATGACTTAATAGAAGTTATTTTTTTGGAAATTACACTTATTTTAGTTCAATCTCATCAAATAACCCTTCAATTTAAAATTGAAATTAGATGATACTTGGATGGGATGTTGGTGTATACAAATCCGAAACTATGATGCATGATTAGACAGATTTGAATTAGGATTATCGGTCAAAAATATAAATTTATATCCAACTAATTCTATTCGGATGGAATTCAAATCAAAACTCAATTCATTGATAGACCTATTTATCGGAGTGATTAAAGAAAGTTCAGCACATACTTTGGTATCCATTATTGGGGGTGTTGAGAGGAATGAAACGATCTAATATATGTACAAAGCAAGTGTCATTGGGATTAGGATCCCCTCTAATATTTTTTTCTTGCAACGCGCTTTTTGACAAATTATTCACTATTAATAAATGAGTAACTCACTTATATACATTGGGTTGTACTTATTGATATATAGAAGAGAATCTCTGTTGATTTGAAACTACTACCTCAAGTTTATCCTCCAATTTTTTGTAGGCCACAATAGCTCCTCCAATCAAAGGCAAGATGTTCAAAGGGCTGTTGGTGTGTTATGCAGTTGTGTTCTCCACTTTTTTCAGCGTTGCAATCTCTGGGTATTGGGCATTTGGAAATCAGTCTCAAAGCTCAGTTCTTTCCAATTTTATGGTTGGTGACAAGGTTTTGGTGCCAAAATGGTTTCTTGTAATGACCAATGTCTTCACTCTTGTCCAAGTATCGGCTGTCAGTTTGGTAAGAACACTGCTTAATACTAATACCAGTACTTAAAGAGATGAGGGAAGGCAATGGCTAAGAACACTACGGGGAGAAATTCAATCTCTCCTAAGTATCGAAAATTTAAAAGTATATAGTATTTACTAAGTAACTCTAACAATTGTGTAACATTCGTCCTCCTCTCCCTTTTTTATTTTTTATTTGACAACTACCCGAAAAATATGTTCATAGTGTTTGTCATCCCCTCTCTTATGCCTAATTCCTCTATCCGACCCTGGCTTGCTCTCTACACATATGATCTCACTCACTCGCCAATTTGATGCAGGTCTACTTGCAACCAACAAATGTAGTTATAGAGCGCCAGTTTGCCAACCCAAAGAAGGACCAATTTTCCATCCGAAACGTTGTGCCACGACTAATATTCCGGTCACTGTCAGTAGCCGTAGCGACAACTCTGGCTGCAATGTTGCCCTTCTTTGGAGACATCATGGCATTATTTGGGGCATTTGGTTGCATTCCTCTAGATTTCATCTTGCCCATGGTTTTCTACAATGTCACATTCAAGCCATCCAAGAGAACCTTAATTTTTTGGGGCAACAGCCTCATTGCCATTGTCTCCACCGTGTTATCGTTGATAGGGGCAGTAGCGTCAGTGCGACAGATGGTTCTTGATGCCAAGACATATCGTTTGTTTGCTAACATACAATGAGAACAAAGATCATACTCAATACATAAGAAACAACAAGGGGTTTATGTCCACATATATGTATCGGTAACTTCTAGGAAACAATGATAAGAATGTATTACGATGTATGTACTATATTTGAAGTATTCAGCATTTGTAAGATCTGCACATTGACATTGTAACTAGCTTAACTACTGCTAGAGCTTCAAATTTAATTTGGTTTTCTAGTCCTATAAAAGACAGAGGGGAGGGGGAAGGCCTCATTGCTACAGAAGACTTTTTCGATCTTCGGACGAGGATGAGAGTTAGACTTTTGGAGGCCACTCGAGGTCACCTGACAGTAACTCAGAAATCTGCTCTGATGGATAAAAAATCACACAACCCCCCAGGACTGGTAGTATTGTTATTCACTATAATCAATATGCATGGACTTGCACACTCAGTCATAGTTACTACCCGCCAATGGCAAATCATCAATTCTCATATTGGGAAGCTTTAGCTCCATCATTTGTAAATTTGCACATTAAATTTTAATCAAGAAACACATGTTAGGATTTTGCGATTTCAATTCAAATGAGATATCTACAATTTTCAAGTAATTTTGTGCATCCAAAATTTGAGTTTTTTGTACCAAAACATCGTAGTTTTCTAACTTAATTATTTTTTTTCTGTATCATCAAACTTATTTTGCCAATCTAGTGTAATATATATAAAAGCCTGACTTTTTTTTTTTTTGAGACAAACAAAACCATGAATTAAATTCATGATTTTTAATGTGAAATTATGTTTTAAAAACACACTTTGATTAATACATACTAGGAACGTATTTTAAAAGTACGCTTTTATAGTAAAAAACATGAAACTATGGGTGTGTGCAGATTGCATATAAGAAAATTAGTTATTACCCGTTTTGAAGGCACTATGCAACCAAAACAGAATTAACTACAAAAAAAATGAGCTTTATTAAGAGAAAAAATAATGCACATAATAAAAACAAATAAATATCTAGAGCCAATAAATATATAAAACAAATGGACAAAATTACCTTTAAAAATATAACTTAAAAAATTTAAATACACGTATACACAATTTACGTATTTTATCATCTTACCTTAAAAAATTGTTTATTCATTCATCATTGACACAATATTCATTTCCACTTTTTGCCAACTACAATTAATGAAACACAAACCACCACTTTTATTGGGTTTAAAAGATAAAAACAATCAAGCAAAATTAGAGCTTACAACGTAAATTATGCTTTTTGATATTTATTTCCTTACAATGAGGTCAATCCCCTGGTACTAACCATCAAAATACCCTTTGTATTTCCATTTTCACATTGAAACTATGATTTTGAATATCAACTTTGTTCCTTTTTGTGGTTTAATTCCATCCTAATTCGCTAAAATCTTCAACTAAGTGCACAGTTACAAATAATGCATATAAAAACTATGCACCTATATAGATAGACAAAAGGGGCAGGTCCTATAGAGGACATCAAAAGCAAATGCGAATTTTTCTCTATTGCGAATGTAAACTTTTCTTACATGACCTAATCAAATTTTATAATGCACAAATTGGTATTACACAAAATCAACAGTCAAGTTTATGTAATTGTGCAATTAATGGACAGTAAATAGGCAATCAATGACAAAATAGTAAATAAAAGCAACACACAGATTTATAGTGGTTCGGTTCGGGTGACCTACTCCACTCTCGGGAAAAGCAACGGTGGCCTGAGATATTTTATTGATGAATAGAGTCTTGTATGCTCCAGGAGTATTACAATGATGAGGAAAGAGAAATAATGTGTGTAGGGAGGTATAGTGTATGTAGGGATCTCAAAGTGTAGAGGTCTCAAGATCATGACATCTATGTGGAGAGAGCTTACATTTTATACGCTTAATAAGTCGGTGACGTGAGGGAAATTACTTCTACTATTTTGGCAAGTATAGTTATGGTAGAATTAGATCTCCGTATTCCGATATTTTCTCCCTCGTGCTCCTATTCATTCGGAGGAAGACCCTGAGCTAGATTGGACTTGATCCTGAGCATGGACTTGAGCTAGAGTGGGTTGGACTTGCATTAGAATGAAGAAGGAATAAGAGGAACAGGAGAGCCAGGCCATGGGCGGCGCCCACTTAGGTGGTGCCTAGGCTTGGGTGGCGCCCCCTTGATTCCTTGTTGGGTGTTGGCTTCATAACTCCCTTGTTGGCTTCCTTCTGGATAGGTTGACCCAGCTCCAATTGGGCTCTTTTTTTGGGTCTTCTTGGTTTATTAAATTGGGTTTTGACCCAGTCAAATTCGGGCTTATCATTTTCCCCCATATCCCAAGCCTCTGACTTTTTGCAAGAGGAAGGGGTTATGGGCATGTACTTTATCTCCATCTGAGTGAGCAGGTGCTTTTTCATTTGCTAAGTTTATCGGTATCGGAATTTTTTTTTCTTTTCTTCTACTTGGGCACTGCCTCCTTTTTTTTGTTTTTTTGTTTTTTCTTCTTAGGCGCTGACCCTTCTCCCCTATTCTTCTTTTTTTTTCTTTCTTTTGGGCATTGGCCTGTTGCTCCCTTTCTCTCTCTTTTTTTTTCTTTGTTTTTTCTGTTTGGATGCTGGTCCTTCTCCCCTATTCTTTTTTTCTTTCTTTCTTTTGGGCGTTGGCTTGTTACTCCCTTTCTCTCTCTTTTTTTTCTTCCTTTTTTTTTTCTTTGGGTGTCGCCTCCTTCATCTTTTTTTTTTTGTTTGGCCTCCTTGGAGGCTGGCTCCCTTTAGGCGACGCCTGTCGGCTCCCCTTGGGCGAGTGTGGGAGCTTCAGGACGCCGCTTTTAAGTGATAGGGACTGTTGAGCGCCAGACGCTAGGGGATGCCAGCGCTGGGCGACGCCAAGGCTATTTGCTAGCTTGGACGGTGCCAGGAGGGGGCTGGGCGGTTATTGACCTTGTCTCTGATTTCAGGACCTTCTAACAGAGTGATGATAGAGGTGAAGGTTCTCTGTGCTTCTAGGGTGTTGTCTTCCCCTACTCCTAAGAGGATGAGGTTTGATGCCCTCAGTGCTTTTCAGCCAAGGTCTAATGGCCACGTTATTTCCCGAGAGCGGTGGGGCTCCCACTGCTTCCCAAACTGGGACTTCTGTGTGTGTCAGAGTTAGCCCTTGTACCACTATAGGAGTTGAGACTCCAGTGCAGTTTTTATGGGAATTGTGGCTTCACCCTACTTCTAGTAATGACTCGATTGTCGACGACCTAAGCTTCAAAAGTGTGTCTGGCAAAAATAATATTATCTCAACATTAAAATATCAAACATGATTACTTAGAGAGAGAGACAGATTGTTTGCATGAGAGCAAAGTCAGAGTTGCGGACGTTGTCACATGAACTGAAGTTGAGCTATGTATAGTCTCGGGGATGACCGCCATGATAGAGGCTTCCAAGGTGACTACTTGTGCTCTCGAGAGCAGAGTCATTGGTTGAGCTACGTATAATTTGGCAGATGACTGTTGTAGCAGAGGCTTACAAGGTGACTACTTGGATGAAAAAAGAGTAATAGGCCGAGCTACATATAACTCGAGAGATGACTGTCATAGCAGAGGCTTACAAAGTGTTTACTTGCATGAGGACAGAGTCATAAGCCGAGCTTCTTTGCTACTCGCAAGAGAGTACGAAGCTAAAGACATAGACTACTGAAGAGTAGTTGGTGCTTGAGCGACAAGCACGAGAGGATGCCGCAGAGCTTGCACAGCAAGTACAAGAAGATGTCGTGAAGCTGTTAGGGCTTGAGCAACAGGCACAAGAGAATGCCACTGAGCAGTTAAGACTAGCACATGAGAGGGCTGCTCAACTTGAGGTTGATCTTCGAGTAGCACTTGAGAGAGCTTATAAACCCCCACATGTCTAAACTATCAACAATCGTCTAATTAGCTTCGTTTTGCATTTAACGTCTCCATTTACATCCTAAATCAAAATATAAGAATAATAAGTATATTTAGGCTCCAAATAAGTATAAAAGGCTAAATATTAAAAGAGAAAAAAATATAACTTTTTGCATTCTCATCAATTAGCTAGCTTAGAGGAATTGAAGAAAAATGTTGATGGATATACTAGTTCTACATCATGTTGTTATAAATGATTATAGGAGACGGATAGTAATTTGGTTTTTGTTAATGAATGATGCTAGACATGGATCTTTATACAAGCCATATTATCTATAATTGGATATGGGTATGAGATAGAATTTGTGACAAAAGACACCCAAATTCGAGTTAAACAAGTATAGAAGAACCAAGCAGTCCGACAGACTACCTTTCACCAATTTGATCATAACTCTTTGTTGGAAAGTCCAAATTGTGCACCGTTATTTTTGTTAGAACCATAACTCGTATATCTTTCCAACCATATAGGTCACAGATACTAGAAATATCTGAGTCAAATCAGTTTATTCTCTGAAGTTGATAAAAAATCTGTATTGTAGTGTTCCTTGGATAGTAAAGTGTTGTACTTTCTTCTTAGACTTTGAAAGTGTAAACCCCCACATGTATATCTTAATATAGTAATGTATTTATTTAGTGATTCTTATATATGTAATGTGTAAGAATAAACCATATATATTAAAACCGTAAGAATAAATACTAGGAAGGAATAAAATAATAATTTTAATATTTCGAGTGTAAATTTATTTTAATTTTAAAATAAATCATAAAAATAAATATTTTTAGGTTAAAATAACATCAAAAATGAATCCGAAACATCGAAAAATCTTAGAGTAGTCATATGGATCAAATTGGAGATTTTTAGTGGTAAAACCATAATTTTATAGAAAACCCAAATTCCAGCTTGTGAACAGTAACCGTCAGGACTGCTGTGTTTAAAATACAGATTTTAGTCCATTTACTTTTATTTCTTTCATTCCACTATCATCCCAAACCTCTTAGCACCCTAGGGGAATATAGAGGAAAGGAAGAAAGGAGAAAGAAGGTCTATAGAGCTTGGATTTTTGGCTTGGAACTTTGATTCAAGGTAGGAGTTTCTCTCATTCTTGTTCATTGAGACTAGGGCTATATATATATATATATATATATATATATATATATTTACTCTAAATCTTAGATATATGTTAGTAAATCTTTGATGTTTGATATTCTTGCAAATATTGTCATGTTTAAAACAAGGCTATGGTTGGATTGCCATGAAACCTCTATTTCTTATTTTGAAAACCCTTGTTCTCATGAGAGGTGGATTTTTCTC